CAGTCGTTCAAGATTTTACTGAAAAAAAAAATGAACAAGTGAACATAATTGGTTCAGAAACCTATGTAACTACTCCTTTAAGTCATTGGTGCATCTTCCCCAGGTTTGTTGATGTAGAAGAGACTTTAACTTTAGCAAATGGTCCCTACTAACCACCTTCTGACAGCAGTAGCTTTATGTCCAGCACACAGCAACAGAAGACCCCTGCTTTGTTCCTAATACAGAGCAAAGATCTGAGGAAAATCTGTGTTATTTCTGTACCAGTGTGCACCTGGTACTGTAGGTGTAGTACATGTCCTGAATCTCTGTTCATACTATGTCTGAGAAATACCATCTTATTTTCTGCATTGAAACAGGCCACTGGTATTTGGAGTCTTTTTACTCTTTCTAATTAAATACCTGCAGTTCTGAGTTTGAATCTATTCTTATTGCAACTTGATAGCCCTGAAAAAAACCCAGCAGACTTTTTTCATCTACACTTGAGCATGTTGAGAATTAATTCTTTTCTCAGCTGCATTTCTTTTCTCCCTCTCCATTTGTTTCCTAAATTCTGCCCTTGCATGTCATGGTTCTGCCCACAACAAGCAGCGGAAGCATCAAACTCATCGCAAGAAGCACGGTTCTCTAATGTCGTCCTCAGTCAGTCAGATAATTGTATGGTTAAAATTGGGATTTTTGTTAAAAGGCACGCGGCTGGACGCCAGGGAGGCGATGCCAGCCTTGACGCGGGAGGAGGTGGAAATGGTGCTTTCCCCCAAGGGGCCGAGGCCGGTGGGATTTCGGGGGAGCCTGGGGCAGGGGGAGGCGGCGCTCGCAGGCTCCCGCGGCGCGTGGGCGACTTCTGAGCCTGGCGCAGCTAAACCTGCAACTCGTGCTCCGAGGCAGGGGTACAAAGGCCATTTCCCTAGGCGTGGGGGGAAAGGACTGCGCGGAGTTTGCTTTACCTGGAGAGGCTGCAGAAGCCACCAGGCTGAGAGCAAGACTTAAGAAAAGGACTGGTCCTCCAGGGATTTCATGGGCACTTATTAGATTGGTTTACAATTTCTTTTAATCATTTGCAGATCTGAGCGCTCTCTGTTTTAAGAGAGTAGTTTGTGTTCTTGCAAACCTGCCCTGAGATATTACAAGCCTGTAGGGTTTTTTCCTGTGCTTGCTTTAAGGAAAGAAATGACAGTTTCACCACCAGACTTTGAAGTGATTTAGGATCTACCACACTGGGTAATGTGTATTGAGCTTTGGTATATATAATAATTTATAAACACACAAATCTGCAAGATATAATTAGAACTAATGACACCTTGCACTGAATGATTACTTGGAAGAATTTAATGGATTTTGTCCTGCAGGTTGAGTGTTTTTGAGCGGCAAGCTGTACTCCTCAACAGGAGCTGCTTTTAGCTTGTGGGAGGTGAATCAGATCCAAGATTGTCAGGAGAGAAATTGCGAGAGCAGTTACTTAAGACGTGGCTTTATCAAAGGCTGATGGAGGGATATCATTAGAAAGGCTCCTTTTAGCTTGAATTATCTGTGGTTCACGGCATATGCATGCGCACGAAATAGTCGCTTGTGTGTTATACGTACGCTGCCGCACACAAAGCGCGTTTTGCCTCTCACAAAAAGTTGGAAGTCGAAGTGGCAGCTTCCCTGGCTACAGCGGAAATTGTGCCAGACCGCTGGGGACGCTTGTCCCCAGCACACGTAGGAGGCTGCCGTGAAGCAAGCAAAAATAGCTTGGGCGTAGCACCGTGCTAATCGGCCTGTATTGCTCCCAAAATGAAGTTAGCTTGAGTACAGCCCGCGAGGCTACGGGGAGCTTGGCTATATTTCCACTGTATTGCAAGTACACAGAGAGAGAGAGAGATGGTCCCCAAAAGAAAAGAGAATTTATATGCTGTATATCAGTAGATTTCCCCAAAACATCACAAAGGGCAAGTTACTTGAGAACTTTAACCGAGTGACTGAGTTTGTTTGGATTAAAACCCTTTCAGCTCTGTTTTCACTCAGCTCCTATGTTTGTGTGATTGCTGCAATTTGCATTTATGGGCCTAACATATTGAAGCATCAGCACTCGCATCTAGAACCAGCAGTATAAAACTGTGCATTAGGAATTTCTATTAAAATACTAATTAAAAAAAAAAAAATTAGACAGTGGAGTAACGAGAGAATACCGAAGAGCAAACAGGTCACCCGTTGTCTGATCTTCCCCTGCCAGTGGTGTCTGTGGGGCACATCATTACATTCATTTCTTTTTTTTAACCAATGTATTGCATATGCCTTTACAGTAGAGAAAAACAAAAGACTGCGTGGTTGTTCTGAGGACAGCAATGTTCATTGCTCCTATGGCTGCTGTCATGGATTTTATACTAGTTGAAGCCTGAAATGTGTGCTCTTGGGTAGTTTTATTTGTTTTTTTAGAGGACTGGGAAAATAGGGGAGAGTGCAGCCACTTTTTCAAATCTGTTCAAGTCAGAAAGAACTGGTTGGCGTTATTTCCATGCAATGCATCATTGCCCTCCTCCATTTTCCTGCAGTTATGGCTGCTCTCTCATGCAAGATTCATATAGTTATGATTCAGCTGGTATTTGAAACTGTGTAAGAGGAATTGCTGTTTTTATTTTAGCCAAGCAACATGCGCAGAAAATGGGGCGAACGCAGCTGGTTGGGGCATAGTCTAAATGCGATGCAGAGGTGGAGACCACCCAAGCGTGGAGGAGCACTACCAGAGCAAGGCCAGCTCTGACAGCTACGACCCTCCTACTGGGTGACAGAGACATGGGGGACAGCCCGCAGGGATACGGGGGGACAGCGGACAGCCCGCAGGGGTACAGGGGAGAGGGGGACAGCCCACAGGGATACAGGGGGATGGAAGGGGACAGCCCGCAGGGATACAGGGGAGAGGAGGACAGCCCGCAGGGATC